GGTAGGTCCAGTCACAGCAGAGCTGCCTGTTGTTTGCTTTTCTTTTGAAAAATCAGGACCCTGAGCATCATGATGTAGTTTTTAAGCTGGATCTAGTTCAGAACCAGGCCCCGCTTCAGGTGCATGGTAGGACCAGCAGCCCTCAAGAGGTCCTCCCAACCTAAATTGTTTTACAAGCCTGTGACCCGCTTTACCCACACCTGGAAGCCAGCCCTTGGAGCTGCAACAAACCCCACTCTCCAGCCTTTTGGTCGTGTTGCAACTCCAGAACCCTGCCAATATATCCGCAGCAAAAATTTAACAAGACGTTTCCAAAAAAATCTCTCGTCAGGAAAGAGGTAAAATGTCCTCTTCTGAACGAGGCCGCAGGGCGTTGCTGAGGGCAGGAGGGGCAGGAAGACACGGAGCTGCAAACTCACAACTGACCACTGCACTGGGGACAATTATGGGTTGAATCCTTAAACCGCAGGAGCTTGGGTGAGAGACAAAGCAGAGGTGGTGTGAAATATCACACCACTGACACAGCGGAGCCCCCAGACCCTTACACGGTGACATGAGTGGCAGCTGTATGCTGATTAGCAGGGCAAAAAAAAATATCCCCACACGACAATTTTTAACGGCAACATTGTAAGTGCTTGGCTGTATTACTCAGCCTTTGCTGAGAGCTGCTCTCACAAACACAACCCTTGGGATAAAACAATCATTACCTCTTCTTTTTCCCTGAGGAAGTGCCAGATTTCCTATTTTTGCTATGAACTTCCTCATTCTCAACACAACCCCGCTGTAGCTGCTGTACGGCCCGTACTCACCGGAGCACGGGACTGGGACATGCGGAGTCCTCGACACAGGTGGGCAGGTGGGTTTGGGTGACGCACAGTCGCATCCCCAGCATGTGTGGGCCGCCGGGGCTGGGTGGCAAGGAGGGGACAGACTGTGGGTGCTCCAGGTCACTGCCTCCTCATCACCCAGCGTCCTGAGATGGTGGGCAAGGATGGGAACAGCTCGTGTTCTTGGTGACTCCCAATTCGCACACTGATGACATCCAGGCAGGAGGAAGCAATTCATTGCATCTTCCTCCAAGACCAGCGTGCCAGAGCACACTGGCTTGGGAGGACACTGGCAGCCGGAAAATCCTCCCATCTGCTGGCAGGGAGATTTTGCTGCCCACGGTGATGGGTGTCCTCCACTTCTGGCCCCATCAGTCCAGACCTTTGCAGGCTTGGGGCTCCCACAGTTGTTGGTGCTGAGCAGGAACAAGAGCTGCACCCTGGTGGGACATCAGGGCTGCCAAAAGCAGCGTCTCCAGCTCCCGGTGCCCACTGGACCTCCACCTCTGGCACAGAGTCGGGGACTGGGTGCTCACTGCTCTTCCAGGGTCACCTCTGCAGCAAGGACAGCCCACCACAGACACCCCATCCCGCAGCCATACGGACAGTGGTCCCCTCCTGGCATTTGCAAAACCCACAACTGACCACAAGGGTCTGTGGGATGGAGGAGGGGGAAACAGAGAGGGAAAATAATCAGGAAATATCACCAGAGTATTTTAAAACACTCTGTGTATATTAGGCTCACCCTGCTCTAAGACCTTCCAGTACAACAGCCAAAATCCTGCTCCCTGGTGGCTTTTGCCCGTGACCCTTACACTGTGAAACAAAACAGGAAAACACGTTTGCAGCGTCAGCAGCACCCACCGGCGGGTGCGGGGCAGGCCAACCCCTGCAGTGGCATCAGCATCCCAAGGCTGAGCAGTGCTGGTGGAGAAGAACCCGTCCCCCACCCCAGGGAGCAGAGCCGACCCCTCGGGGATTGGGGGGTGGGAAGCAGCGCAGGAGACACGTCCACCCAGCAGCCAGTCCCCGTCCCCTTGCTTCCTTTCACACTCCTGTTCAAGGAAACCCCAATGGTACGCTAAGGACTACAACAGCATTAGCAATTCGCGCAACACATAATATAAATTTCCATTAATTGGGGTGGTGATATGGCCACAAAATAAACATTTTAGCAATGTTCCGCTGTGCGTGTCCTTTGATAGAGAGCAGATTTTTCCCTCTAGAAGAGCACGCCCGCTATCAAACTTCCAGAAACAAACAGTTTGGAAGAAAGATAAAACCCTTTTGCAAATTTGCAAACCTACGTGTGGTATTCCTATCTCACAATTTTCAAATTCTTTAGATATTTAAATACCCATAGGCTTTGCTTTGTTCCTGTACTCTTTCATCTTTCTCCAGTAAGTTCATTCAATTCCAGCCACAACAAATGAAGCCGGCAGATCCACAGATGCTGTTGTGAGAACTCAGCAGAGCCTGGACCCTATGGACTGTTTTCTCAGCTAAAGCAGAAAACGGCCAATTACAGCAGAGAACAGCAGTCAAAGGTACGTAGAATAAAATGGAGTTCCTTCTGTGTTAATTACTTCCTATGCCTGATTTTCCCTCACTTTTGGAGAGGAAACGACAATATTATAAGCTCCATAATCAAAGGTCCTGTTCAAATGCCCCTCTCAGAATCCTCCATATGGTAACTTAAAAGTCTCTTTTTTACTGAAACAATAACTCTCAACAAGTCTTGGAAATACAATAAAGCTTCTTGGGCTCCTTTGACACATCTGCCAGCTGCAGAGAGAACTCTGCTGGGAGGAAAGCGCTAGCAACGCGTCAGGGTTTTGTCATGGAAAACCAGTTATTTGCCGTCGTGGATGTGCAGCGGGGTTTAACGAGAGAGATCCAGGAGTATAGATACTTCACCACTTATTTTCATTTTGCCTCCTCTGCTGTTGAATACTTTCCTGCTATCAAGGACATCAAATCAAATGGCCAAAAGCCAACGCTGATTTCAGTTATTTACAGAACTGGGAGCTCACAGAACAAACTCCTCGAAATAATACTAATCTAAGATGAAAGCTCCATTTGTAAGAGGGATTCAGTTGGATATTTTCAAGCATTCATTATAACTGATCCAAAACATCTGGGAAGCTTCCTGCCAAGGCCACTAGTCTCAATGCAGTTATGACTAAACTAAAGTAACTACTCTCAAATGACGAGGAGCAGGCCACTAAATGCCAATAAATGAGCGCCGCTAGGTAAGGTCACGTTGCAACCCCTGATCCCGGAGCAGATCCCCACCTCAGGTACCTTATGGGCAGTCCATCTTTTGGGAATCTCCCTCCCTGCTTGGCAGGACAAAAAACACATGGCACAGCTGGCCAGACACAACACTTTCCTAAAAGTAAAAGAATCAGTGAATGAAGTAAAGATACCATTAACAGTAAACGGCATTAATTCTCTTTTCTGTATTCAATCTTCCAGCTGCGAGTTCAACAAACACTTCAGTTTAACTTGATCAGCGTCTCTTCAACCATACTAATATTTACAGAAAATGATGTTTTTTCATTGCAATGGAAAAAAACAGCTAACAAAATACTTTCTTTTTGTTATTTTACAGCGACTCAAGCAGTGAGATTTAAGCCAGCGGTATTGAGATTTGTGAATCTGGAGAGCCACAGCCAGCTATTTTTAGCGGACAGTCAACGACCGCAGAATTTACTTTCATCTTGTTGCACTGGTAGGTTTGGCAAGGCAGGAAGCTTCTGGTTGATAGTATCTCAGACGTTTGTGTTTTCAAATGTCTCTGCCACTAAGCCCTCCTGACATGAGGATTAGGGCATGAATAAGAGAAAAAAGCTATCAATGAAAAACGTCAAATGCGGGTGTACAGCAAACATAACCCATCTGACTTCCAGAGTTGCTGAGCAGCCCTAGCGCCACAGTGCCATGACATGGCACCTGCAAAAAATATTTCACATTCAAATTTGACGTAAACTACGCGCTGGTGAGCAACTGCCCGTTCTCCAGACTGACGAAGCTCGTGAAGGGGATCTGGTTTGGCTCGGGTGGAAGGGAAGCAGATGTGTGCAGGGGCAACCTGGTAACCCTAGGGACACTGCAAACAACAAACCCAAGGTCCTCAGCTGGCTTGCCCTTCTGCGCTACAGAAGTGCAAAGGTGGCTGTTCTCGGCTCCCTGCTGCCCTAGGGACAACTGCTTTGCCGTGTGAATGAAGACACCATTTTAACTTTTGGCCACAAGTACCCACATTGGTTCACTTCTTTTTAAAACACTCAGTTGACCTCACAAAGAATTTTCAGGGCACCCAGGCTTCCCACTGCTCAGAGACCTGATGAGGATGCACGTCTGCCTCCATAGAAAAGCATCTCCTTCAAAGCGGACAGAGGCCTAAACATGTAAAACTTGAGCAACTTGTTTCTAAACATTAATTATCTAAATAGATAATTCTAGAGATTTAATTACCCATTAGTCACACAGTATCCCAAATCAGAATCCTCTCTTCAAAAACAAGTGCTTCAAGTCTATTTGCATTTCCTTTGTTCGTCTTGAACCCAGAACTCACTGATAATACATTTTGGAAATGGTGACAGGACCCTAAACATCAAGCGTACAGTGGAAACAGTCTCCAATAAATTTCATGATTTCTCATTTTAAAATGCTGATTTGTTAGAAACTAAGCACTTTCAATCCAGTCAAAATCTTAGAAGTACTTCCATGTTAGAGATCTTGGTCTTAATCTATCCAATCTACTTGCAAATGATGCTTACTTTTGTAAACAGATTTCTACCAATCTTTGCAAAAGCATCATGGCTAACAGCTTGTTAAACTGAATCAAATCACTAGGACGGCTTCCAATGTCAATGAAAACTAAACCGAAAGAATGAAAATTAAGCATTCCACGAGGATTTTTGTGTTATTTGTGTTTATATAAAAATACTTCCTTTAAACAATTGTTAAGAGGTCAATTCATTTAAAAATGATAGCTTGGAATTAGCTATGTTGAAATGCAAACAAGCACATAAAAATCACTAACTTTCACTGGATTAGTCCAGAAAAACTGATTTCTTATAAAATAAATTACCTCCTACAGACCATACTATCTAAAAGAAACGCAAGAATCAGGAAGAGAGTATAAAGACACTCAAAACAATACCAAACATTCTAGTGCATATTTCCTAGATATATTAGCTATGAAATAGTTTAATATTTCACTCTTCAAATTACAAGTTTCGAATAAAAATAACAAACTTCAACAGGATTGATTTAATTCTTTGCAGAGACAAGTGCTGCTACAGTTACCCAAAAATGTAAACATTTATTGAAAACCTAAGGCCGAAACAGACACCTGCTACGGAAGTGACAATTTCAGCTTTTGTCAGAAGAACCTACCGCACACAACAACACAGCTCCTCGTTGCAAACAGGCGTATCAACCAAACAGCTTAAAGAGGCAAAAAAGTGTTTGCAGAGCTTCATCTTGGACCCCATTTGATGTCTTTTACACCATGAAATTGCCTTTTCAAAGCATGGTTGTCTGCCCACTCAGCATTTAGAAATGAGTCGTCGTCATCCTCTTCTAGTTTCTGTAAACAGAACCGACAGGTTAAGGCAGCAGTAACGAATGTAACCTGCAGTTAGTGTCTACAACAGCACAGCTCACATACAGGAAAAAGACACTGTTACCTTAAGTTCTTCCTGCTTTCTGTAGTAATACAGCATCATCTGTTTTTGCTCTTCATGACTAATCAGAGGTTCACGCCCTGGAGCTCCTTGTCCTTTCTGAAAGGGAAACCATTAATTTTATTTATGACGGCATTTGCGATACAGAAGAGAAGCTGCTACGCAAAGATAGCAAAATCTTTCTTCAGACAATAGGATTTCTCAAATTTAATACGGTCCCTCAGGACAGGAAAACAACTGTTGAGAAACTTCTGCTGCATTCAAGTCAGAATTATTTTTTCATCTCAGCATCTGAATCATGCTGTCAATTTTGTGGACATCGACGGAAGCTGCAAACAGGACTGAGTCTATTTTACTTAAGCTTCCACTCTTAAAGACATAATAAATCTCTCTGCTTTAAGGCCGTTCTAGATGTCTCGGGATGAGCCCATCTATTTTTAGCTCCCCTGCTAATACAGACTCAAGACAGCATATGACTTAGTAAAGCAGGGAAGGAAGGCAGTTACAAAACACTACAAATAAAAGAAATTTTATTTGTCACTGCAAATAAAAGAACATTTATTTTTCCAGGCAACTGTCCTCATGGAAGAAATGATGCACACAGCAGAAAATAGCTGATGACAGCTATTGTCAACAGTAGCAAACAGAACAGTTTGAATGGAGATGGTGAATCCTCTATGAAACAAAAAGGGTCTGAGGTGGTTTAAATTAGCTCTCCAACCCAAGAATGCAGGCATCTCTTCTCAGATAGAAAACCACCGTACTACTTTGCATTCTCTGAAGGGGTCCATCAACTAATTAAACAGTAAGACAACTTTCCTGGGAGCCTACACTTCAATGGCTGTTGAGTTGTTGCACAATTTTTCAAGTCACCCTGACAGGAAGGAGAAAGCAATGCTGGTCTTCTAAATGACAAACACATAAATCACTTGACTTCTCTTACAGACACCTGTAGATAATAAGATCTGCTGTAACCACTAATGCTTTCTGTGGCAGAGCAGCTCTCGCTGACATGGAAGTGTAATGCAGCTCCTGAGTAATTCTGAGCTATGGGTAAGTACTCTAAGACATTTGACATTTACAAAAGGACCCTTTGAATGTGATTTTATAGAGAGAGAGACACACACACATACAAACATGACGAGCATCTTCTGACAAAGCTCTGAAAATTAATTGAAACACTAAACATTTTCCCCTTGAGTATGGCATTCTCATCAGAGATGAACACAACCGCACAGTTAGTACAAAACCATTTTGTCCAAAAAACAATCAACACTCCCAGTAGCTTGGTGCTACTTCTGATACTGCAAGAACATGACCACTGTGTGAGACATCAATATACACTTAATGACTGGCTTTTGCTGAAGCATCAGATCTATAAACAGAGGAGCAGCAGGATGTCTTTGCTTCATTTTAGCTCATTACTCCATAGGATGACTCATCAGGCCTGTGTTCACAAGTAATGCAGAAAGCCTCATCTGCTTCATCACATCTAATGACTGGAAAGGCTCATTTCTTTCGAAAAAGTTCAGCTGGGAGCTTTAGGTGAGCTGCAGCTGACAATGCCACTGGGTGGTGCAGGCCCAGCAGCTTATTTTTCCTTCCAGCACCCAGCGAGTTCTCACTGAACCCTTCGGGAGACCGTAAATTCAGGCTCTTCCACAACCTGCGTCCTTTCAAGCAGGAGGCAGGTCCACATTTCCAAGGAAACGGAGACAGTTTGAGGACCTGCCATCAAGAAACTCAGGACATCACAGGTCGGAAGCTACTGAGTTACAGACACTGTCTTTCAGACACAGAACAGACTGAACCAGGGATGAGAGGTATCCACGCCACATATGCACAAAACATTAAAACTGGTTTTTAAAGGCCAGAATATGGTGAGAAAAACATTCACAAGTATAATTAGAAAAACTGGACAGACTGAATGACTGGGTCTGTCCAGTGCTCTGCACTGAGACGGAACTGAGAGCCAACTGAGGTTTTTTTGAACTTTTTAGCTGGTATTTCATCTATTTTTAAATGTCTCTTTGCTGTACTTTAGAAAAGTCCTATGGAGCAAGTAATAGCAACTACAGTATTTAACTGACAGGCAAAAAAATTACTAAAGAAGAACTGAGACTATAATAAATTAAAACCTTAAAATAGATGTAGTTTTAAGACACTCAAGCCAGAACTAATCTAATCCATTTTATACACCTACAGACAATTCTCTTCCATGGAGAATTAGACAGCCAAAGGTGAATAACTTGTAAAGAAATCTCCCAGAGATACTTACTTTCTGAATCTTGACAATGATGGTGGTTTTCTCATTTTTGCCTACGTAGTCACAGAGCAACTTTGTTTCTTTCAACTCCTTTCCTGCCCACCATAATTGTGCTTCTGATTCTTCTATAACTTCAAGTCCAGCCTGTGACAAATAAACAAACAAGGTAAAGTGTTGGGGGGATGTTGGTTTTTTGCTGTTTTCAAAACCAGAAAAATTTTCTGGGAAAATCTTTCTGGAATTCTTAACAGAAAGGCCAATGTAATTCACCTGATTTTACATTATACTTCTGCTACATTTTCCTCATATTAATTTATAGCATTTTGATTCATATTCCATTGAATCTTGATCTAATATAAACACTTTGAGCAATAAATTCTCAATACCTGCATTAGAAAGAAATGACAAGCTATTTAAAATGGGTCCAAGGCTTACCTGAACTCAACTTCACATGTAACATTGGAAATAAACTTAATTCATCTTATTTCTAGTTAAGTTATTGGTGTGCTTTTACATAAACTATCAGACAAAAATTTTAAACAAAATTTGTCATGCAAATGGAAAAACCTTCACTGATAAAATGGAGAACTGTAGAGCACATATTTAACCCAGGCATTACATATAATCCAAATACATTACTGCATACATGAGTTCCCGACAAGTCTTCTTTATCTTCAAACTCCATCCTAACTGGATCATGTGGAGGCAATCCCATTGGATACACAATCATCACGGCCCCTCGGAGCTGGTCCAATGCATCTTTCACCATCTCCATATTAACACACACATTGGCCTGAACTTGTTTCTGAAACACAGGTAGGGATCATTGGTAACTAAAAAAAATATGCAGAAAGACACTGCTTTGTAGTCAGCTCAAAGGTAACAGTGGGATATCTGAGCAAAGCTAACTGGCTGCACAAAGATATTAGCAGCACAAATTTTCTCAATTGCATATCGACTACTGAATACATCACTTCTGCCCCAGCCATGTAGGTTGCTTACACTTGCTTACACTGGCGGGAGGAATCTTCACTAAATTGTGCAGGAGGTATTTAGTAACAAATGTCTGTGGGATCCAGGCGTTCGAACAAGTACGTGTATCAATACAGAAACTGGATGGGGAGACTTTTGTTCCAAGTACTCATGATTTGTGAACAACATTCAAAACGGTAGGATTCAAGTGAGGGCTAGAGAAGGGGCCTAAAACTTGAGAAAAAAACAGAGCACATGTGAGCAGAAGAGTAAAGCTTGGTATATGGCACAGCTTATGCAGAGATCTGTAAGATCAAATATTTGAGATCATTCCAAGCCCTACTGCAATGGATAGAGGAAAAACAAGACACATCTGGAAGAGAAGAAAGGTTTTGCTTACGGATTTAACCATTCCAATATTTTAAGTAATAAGGTTTATAAAAAGAGAGTAAGAGAATGTTGCCTCCTTGTGGACATTCTTAAACTAGTTAACCGGCACGTACAATTGGTTTCTCAATCTCAGATATCAACCACTTTTTTTTAAATGCACAGGCATATTTCTTCGTTTTCATCATTATAAAGTGATGAACCTAACAAACCACTTCACAAAATATCCTTAACTTCATTCACCAGTGCATGGAAGTAATTTCTGGAGTATGTCAGCATGCAGTGCAGTGGGGCCTGTTCTCTTTAATATTTTTATCAATGATCTGGACAAGGGGATTGAAAGCACCCTGAGTAAGTTTGCGGATGACACCAAGTTGGGTGGGGGTGTTGATCTGCTTGAGAGTAGAAAGGCTCTACAGAGGGATCTGGACAGGTTGGATTGATGAGCCGAGGCCAATGGCATGAGGTTCAACAAGGTCAAGTGCCGGGTCCTGCACTTGGGTCATAACAACCCCATGCAGTGCTACAGGCTAGGGGAGGAGCGGCTGGAAAGCTGCCCGGGGGAGAAGGACTTGGGGGTGTTGGTCAACAGTCAGCTGAATATAAGCCAGCAAGTGTGCCCAGCTGGCCAACAAGGCCAACAGCATCCTGGCTTCTATCAGAACAGTGTGGCCAGCAGGACTAGGGAAGTGATTGTACCTCAGTATTGGGCACTGGTGAGGCCACACCTCAAATACTGTGTTCAGTTTTGGCCCCCTCACTACAACAAGGACATTGAGGTGCTGGAGCGTGTCCAGAGAAGCTGGTGAGGGGTCTGGAGAACAAGTCTTATGAGAAGCGGCTGAGGAAACTGGGGTGGTTTAGCCTGGAGAAAAGGAGGCTGAGGGGAGACCTTATTGCTCTCTACCAACTACCTGAAAGGAGGCTGTAGCAAGATGGGGGTCGGTCTCTTCTCCCAAGTGATAGGCGACAGGACAAGAGGAAATGGCCTCAAGTTGTGCCAGGGGAGGTTTAGATTGGATATTAGGAAAAATTTCTTCACTGAAAGGGTTATCAACCATTGGAACAGGCAGCCCAGGGAAGTAGTTGAGTCACCACCTCTGGAGGTATTTAAAAGACGTGAAGATGTGGTGCTGAGATGTGGTCCCTTACAACCAAAATGATCCTATGATTCTATGAATTTTGCAACTTTTTATTGTAAAGGACAACATAGTTGGAAGTTTCACCCCAGAAGACCTGAGAAGTAGAGACCAGATCTACAGATATTTTTGAGTCAAGAAGTAAAACATATTATTAATTTCCTCCCTGTTTAGAAATAGAGTTGCTGAGATGCAATCCAACCAAAAAAAAAAAGTCCATCTGGAGAAAATCTTTTGATTCCAGAAGCTTTAATCTGAAACATCTCTCATTTTGTGTAGATTTTGCTATAACTCAGGGCAGTTTGGCTGGAACCCTGCCTCAATTAAGGGAAGGTTTGCTGCAACTCAGCACACTGGAAGCACCGCCAGGCGACAGCGCAGCTCCTCTGTTTGCCTCCACCAGGCCTTTGGAAACACTGAGCTGCTCACTCCAAATCACTGATATGACACTGTTATCAGCAACAAAACAGCCAAGAAGGCCAATTTAAGTGCACCGGCAACACTAAAAACTCAGTAACATTATCTATTTGCGTAACTGATTTAAAGCTGTTTTAAAGTTCCACACATACCAGTTCCCAGAATTGTAGGGGTAGGGAGAAGAAAATTACTTGCAGATGTTTACAAAAAAAGCAATCTGATAACAAATGTTACTTAATTTGTGTTTCAAAATCATATGAAAGCTGAGACACAATACAGAGCATCTGCAGATCTGGTAAAGTGAAGCTGTATAATCGAGACCACAGTACCATCAGGGCATATCCTCACGCTTATCTTTAAACACACAAACTCATTTGGACTGAGCATGAGTCCAACTGCTTGTAAAACCAAGGCATAATCTAAGAGATTAGATCACATATTTCAATTAATTATACATAAAACTCAAAAGACTATGTTAATGAGCAAAAGGTACTTTTTTTCCAGGAACATCACAGAATGCAGTTAATTTTTCACCAGAAAACACAAGTATTTACCTAAAGAATGCATCAATAGCAAATTAAGAGTGTGTGGATAAAATTAAATGTGATTTAATCATTCAATGTGGTCTCAGTTGCCAGCATTCACTTGGAGTTTAATATCTGATTCCTTAACTTGTTGAACCAGCTTGCCAAAAGCCATTAAGAAAATCATTAGCAGAAATGTCAGTTTTTATTAGACTATTCACATCACTTCATGATACTGCTCAAAAATTCTCAGCCCTTGCACTGAAAAAAGTCTATTTTTATTTAAGCTGCCCAACTACATAGCACCTATTAAGAAAGTACCACATACCACATGCTACTTCAGGAAACTTACCTTCGAGATTAATGCCTTGGCTTCCTCTATTGTCTTCTTTATAACTTGCTGCATTTTTTCATTTGGAGCTAAAAATAAGAGACACATATTTAATAATCTACACTTACTATAAAAAAAATAGCAAACGACCTGTCCGGGTTATTCTCTACTGTAAGCAAATGAAACATTGTTAAATCACAAATCAAGAGAGACACTACTATGCTGCAGTTTGATAGTTCATTGCCATATTTCTTACTAGCTTAAGAAACAAAACAGTATTTTTCCTGGGGGAGCCAAACTTACTTTTCCACAAAGACATTTGACTGGTATTTGGAACTTCATTTTGGACAAATTACTGAGTAGAAAGCAACAGCCATAATTTCATACTCACCGCAACCAAAACCAAGACTCTCTTTCCCATGCCGAACTTACAGCTATGGTGGGCTGTGCTGGCAGATGTGCATAAAACGGGACAAGAGCTTGGAGTTTTCTGACTTTTTTCCAATTAAGATTTAAAATGCAGTTTTGCAAATACAACGTGCATTTCATTCATTATAGTTACCCATTTTAATTGTTATAAAAAGCCTCTCCTCAGAAACAAAAATCCAGTTAAATCATATTCATTCACAGCTGAATGTTTAAATGCATCATTTGATGGTATTTAGTTTGGCCCACATTTACATGCTGTTCAATATTATAACTTTGTTAATATTACAAAGCTGTCCTCCCACTAACAAATAAATAAAAACTACAAGTGGTACTGTTCTTATGTTAAAGTTGCTTGCAAAGTTTTACTGTAAGGCCTGACACTGCTCACAACCACGCCAAACAAGACAGGCTTTGTCCACACGCCTACATATGAGACACTCAGCTATTTCTGAGAAAACAGCTAGGAGGGAAAACATTTCGCTATAATATAAGCTCTTAATCAAGTTCAGCAAGGGCTTAAACTTGACTGGGCAATGTGTTGTATTAGAAGAATTCTTTCCCCCAAATTAAGACACTTGGAGTAAGCTGTTTGTGTACGACAAGTTAAGTTATTCAAAGATTCCTCCTTAACTGAGCTGCCCTGCAATCAACATCTAAAGGGCTGCTGACCCGACAAGGACTGCTGTGGTGTCAGGAATACAGGGACAGACAGCAAGAGACAATCGCAGTCTCTTCCGTGCAATCAGTCCTCACGCTCTTGACTGTACAGTGGCGCTTGATACACATGCCAAGTGCTAAGGCAAAACCATTTGGCTGGAGTTGCAGAAAGAAAAAGTGACAGGAGTGAGTTCAGTAAGTCTGAGTCACAGTGAATGAGAAAAAAAGGAGAAATAGTAGAAAAACAACCTGTTATTGTATCTTGGAGCCTCTGGAGAAAAATTGTACACATATATACATTTACAAATTAAAGTGAAACAGTCAAACTTGCTTCTCATAATTGTTTACTTATCTTTGGAGTTTACTTTCAAGTACTACAGTTGCAAAGTAAAACTGCATATGTGCTGAAGAGATATACTATTTTGGCTTTAAATCGCCATTACACCAGTTCCTAATCCAAAACAGAGTTGTGTATGTAATTGATAGTTTAGCTGATCTATTGTGAAAACAGCCTCTTGAATAGCTACTGCTTAACAAATCCATTACTGCTTTTAATATAGTTTATAGGATGATTTTTATAATTAGCTATCCTGGTTTCAGCTGGGATAGAGTTAGTTTTCTTTCTAGTGGTTGCTGTGTTTTCAGATTTGGTATGAAAGGAATGTCAATAACGCACAGTTTTAGCTGTTGCTAGGGAATGCTTATACTATTCAAGGACTTTTTTCAGCTTCCCAGAGAAGCTGAGAAGGAGCACAGACAGAACAACGGAATGGCCAATGGAATATTCTGTACCATAGATGTCATGTTTGGTATATAAATGGGGGTTGACCGGGGGACAGGAATCCACGATCACTGCTTGGGAGGAGCTGGGCAACCAATTCACTGGGTGGTGAGAGTGACTGTGTTGTATTACTTTATCTTGCATATTCTTTGACCATTGTTATTGTTATTTTCCTTTTTCTGTTATTGTTTTATTAAACTGTCTTTATCTCAACCCACGGGTTTTTTTCCCCCCTCCTTTTCTCCCTGCCCTTCTTGGGGGGAAGAGGGAGAACTGCGTGAGCAGCTGCATGGTCCTAGCTGCCAGCTGGGGTTAAACCACCACATTAACAAATAAACATGAGCCGGCTAACATGCTGGCCTGAAATCCAATGTATACTTGATATCTACTCGTTTTTTTTTCTTCTTCCAAGACAGTGAGGTAAAACTGAAAGGCCCGGAATTATGGTTTTTATGTTCCTCATTATATTATAGATTATCTGTGTCTGCAGAGAAAGAAACATTTACATTCGATTTACCATGTCCATTTCTTCGCCCAATTTCATCCTTCTTGAAGACACTTCCACCACTTGGTACACACTTTTCTGCCCACTCATCCTTTAACTTCAGTTCTTCGATTTGCTCATCCGTCAGTCCTTGCATGTTATGAGGCAAGAAAATACCATGCTCTGCCAGCTCCTCCATCTCTTTAAAGTGTTTAGAGAACAAGATTAAAAATTTGTGTTATTGAGAACACACCCTTCACCAAAGCCTTTCACATACATACATGCAGGCAAAACCTTACTGCTAGCCTTCAGTTTTTAAAGCACTAAGTATATGGAATAAATAATAAGGTCTATAAATACATACATATAGATATATATGCTGTAATTACATCACAATTCATACATTTCACACATATATGAAATAATGGAACAAATGATACAGTGCAGGTATGCAAACCTAGACAATACTTGCTGGCCATAAACTTTTTCTTTTTGGCATTTCCTTTGTCAGCTTTAGCTGACTGCATATTTCTTTTTCTAAGTACTATTGGGTAAGCAACTTTTTTCAAAATGGAAAAACATTTTACTGTTATTCAGTAATTAATTTCTTTGCAGTTGAGAAAATATGTAACTGGACTACCTATATCTTTGCCCAGGATAATTCTAGCTGAGACAACAGAGAGGTGTAAATGCTGGTTACCAACACACAGCCTCACACAGTGAGAACCGACAGTGTGTGGATGCAGCGTCCCAACCCTGTTATCTGGTGTACAGCATCTGATCCACAGCCTGCAAGCTACACTCACTACTTTCCCCTAGAACAACTTATCCAGCTGTCAGCCCACTTCATAGGATCCTTTTCTTGAAAACCCTCCAGCATCTTTACCATCACTATATTAATTAAAGCATATCCATCTCACAACGGACACACAAGAAGTACCCCAAGTTCCAAGAAATGGCAATTCTGTTCCTGTGGCTGGGAATATAAGCAGCCACATAAAGGCTAAGATTAAATTAGCAAGTACTGCGGAGCAGCAGCAGCAGATCTGCAGAAAGAGCAAGTGCTGAATATATGGTAACCATGGCGTCTGGGTTTCGCAATTTTTTAATTTCAGATTAGCCTCAGTATGACCTCATACACTACAAACATATTTGCAGCTGGAGCACATCAGATGTAGATAGGCTGCATCCTTCAGGTCAGTCGTGTCTCAAGGGAATCTCAGCTCCTGTGTTCCCAACCTGATCCGCAGAGCAAACCGAAGTGGGTCAGGAGGGACAAACAGTAAATGTTTAATGTTTTTCAAAACCCACCTCCTGAATTGAACTAAAGCACCAATTTAGACATATTCAGTAACTCTCCGTCACACGGCAAGTGGATGCCTTGCACCAAACATGCAGTAGCAACACGAGAATTTCAATCATGTGTAGGCTACACCGCTGGTCACAAAGGATTTATGCAGCTGCTATGGGACAGGACACGCTGCAGTTCAGTCATGCAATGGATGAATTTTTAACCATGTACAGTGGGAATCTCAGAGCCATATGCTATCTAAAAAATAAGAGCTACTAAAATAGCAGACGATGGGAATTTACATGTGGTTGTGGTGGGTATTGGCCGCGTTCTTAAATTTAGGGGAAGATGGCTTGCCTGCTGCTAAGGCTGGGATTTCAGAAGTATTTCTTAACTTCTGCCAGTGCAGAACTCCTGCGAGGCCACAGCCAAGTCCCCCCCCCAGTGCCGCGCCTCAGCTCCCAGTCTGTGAGCCAGCGGGACACGAACACCTATGAGACGGAGCAGCGCCCGAGCGCGGCCTCCCGTTACTCCCAAGGTCGCCCGCCCCAACCCCCGCCGGAGCCGCCGGGAGGAGGATGGAGCCGGGGCAGACCGGCGGGCCGGTACCTGAGCAGAGGCGCTGCACCTTCAGCCTCCCGTTGTAGATGCGAGCGACGAGG